TTAGTGCTATCTGAGGTTTCGGGCGTTCACTGAAGGTCTTGGAACATAGACCCCCCGGGTAAGCCTGGATAAAGGTGGAGCAGTGGGAACACAGGCCGGTTTTGGGCGGTGGGCCAGGATGCAAGGTTTCAGCCAACGTCAAGCGAGAGCCTAAATGTTTGATTGTCTAATGAAAATATCAGAGCTTTTAATTTTAATGGTTTGTACATGAACATTAAAAAAAAAATCCAAAAAAAGACAAGTATTGCCAGCTAAGGAGATAGAACGCCAAATACTGTCCATTGCTTGAATCTGAACAGCATTCTGGGTCAAGGATGTTCCGTTAAGCAGGAATTTAAGGTAATTTCTCTGCTTTAAAAGATTAATTTACCATTTTAGTTAAAAGAACAAAAGGAATCAACCTCGTTATTTGACATCAGATAGGCAAAACTAGCAGAAATTATTGAATAATTTCTAAAAGTTCTACTGGCTTAATTGGAGATTACATTCACATAAGTCAATAGAACAAAGGCTATATCAAGGATCACACAGAATATATTCGATACTATTTGATTATAAATAATGTCCATTGTTAAGTTCATGATGTTCTTTTACTCCGTTTCTTACTGTATTCTAAAGTTAGTTGCTTTAAAAATTCTCAACACAACAGATACTCTGTGGTATTTGTAAAACTCAATAGCATTTTTGCTAGTCTGTAGGAGGATGGGCATTTGGGAATGTGGGCTTCAGTCTTCCCCTTTTTTTCTAGGTCCTATCACACTGTGTCCTGGACTCTGCACTCTGTCCTTTATCTCCTTTTCCATTTTGGAGGAAAAAAGAAAAGAAAAAACTTCACTAGACACTCATTCCTTTGGGCTGGGCTAATCTCTCACCTTTGACCATATTCCAAAGAAAGTAAATTTTAGCTCTGCACTCCTAACTCCTGAGAACAAATGACTTTAAAAAAACAAAAACAAAAAACAAAACTGCTCCTGGGAATTCAAAGTGTTATCTAACCTCTGTGGATTGTTGGTTGGTAGAAGATTTGTATAACAGGGAGAAATGTTAGAGTCTATCTCTAGACTGCAATAGTTTGTATGCTAGCCGGGAACTTGAACACAACTGCTTCTGAACAAAATGTACCGAGTTATTTTTCATCTGTATCGTGGAGAGAGGAATTGCTGAAATGGTGTATCACATATAATTTGGGGGAACAATGGCATTATTTGGGTAAGCAGAGATTGCTAGAGTATTTGCAGCTTTGTTAACAAAATGGCTTGGGACGTAAAAACCCTTGAGGTATTTGTTTTCCTATTTATAAGAAAAATAAAATTTAGAGTTTTTCTGTGTATAGGACAACCATGAAAATGCATCATAGTGGCATGTTGTGATTATATAGTATATATATGTTCGTGTATATCATATCTAGAACACTGTTCAAAGGTAATAAAATAAAACTCTTACAATGTTTAATTATTTCGGGTTTTAGGTCCAAAATCAGCTTTCTGTTCTTGGGTATAGATAGCTGGTTCCCAGCTTATATTTTCACAATTTCCTTCATAAGAGTAAAAAGAAATTGTCCATTGATTTCATTTGTTGATTTAAATTAAAAAAAAAATCCCACTAGATATTACTATTTTCCCCTTATCAACCTACCTGTGGGAAAGTAATAACCAAATTACATACAAAACACAAGTAAAATTCTGTAGAGAAGCAATTTTCCTTGAGCCTTAAATTGAATTAAAATGGTTGCTTATTCTTTCAACTATTGATACGGCCTCATAGTTGACATATTATCCCTAAACAAACTTTGATTTTCCATATTGATTCAAACACTCTTGTTCATTTAGTTGAAAAGTCCATGTCTGCTCCAAAACCCTTAGATAAAGTGCAGACTTGTTTCTCGTAAAAGGAATTTTTAGCCATTTAAAAAGCCTGCCCATTAAACTAATAATGAAAATAAAAGAGGCAGAATCACTGTCTGATCATGATGTTCTTATTCTGAATTGTATTTGGAACAAAAAAAGTACACATCCTGGAATAACAGCAACTGATGTTAATTCAGTAAAAGGTAAGTATCAGAGCATGAACCCTTCGGGTTGAAAGTAAAAGAACCTTAAGTAACGAGAGGACCTTATTGAGGAGCCTGAGTTAACCCTGACGTGGAATTTAAGGACCGGAAGTTAGGCCAAGGACTGGGAATCCATCTGGACTTACCTCTTTGCCACCCTGCACATCTCTGTCCGTTTTCTCTTGCTTTGCAGACAGGTGGACTCTGAATTTGTTTGTCTCTCGTGAAGTGACCTCTAGAGACTGACCAGCACCTCAGTCTAAAGACCCCGAAGAGAGAACCTAATTGGTCCAACTGGGGTCGTGTGACTAGTTATGGCCAGAGGGGCACAGTGCCCTAGGGGACGTGCCTAGGGGACGAAAGGGGACGTTCTCTGAAGGGGGCTGGGAAGGCATTCAAAGTATTTACTACAATACGACTTTCGTCAGCGCATCCCCCAGACCCTCTTCCATTAAACAGGCATTTTTATCTGCATCACAGGTAGATATGGTTATTTTCTGGGGCATCTCTGCCCACTCCTTGCTTCACATCTATGCTCCAGCAACAAAGAATTGCTTGTAGTCCCAACTACCCATCTTCTACTTACCACCCATATGCCCCCTTGCGATCAATGAATTTCACGCCTAAGTTCCTGTGGTCCTCTGTGCTTGTAATGGTCCCCTCCCAATTCTTTCATTCTTTAGGCGTCATGGCAGATGTCACTGCTTGCAGCAGACCTTCTGGACTTGCTTCCCTTCCTGGGCTCGTTATCGCTGCTGTCTGTACGCATCATAACTGTGCACATCATCTCCATCATCCCTTGTTTGTGATTTACCATGTAGGTTCTGGCATCTTTTGGACCCCGCAAGCTGTGAGCCTGGCCTACAGTGGGCGCTCCAAAATAGTTGAATGAATATGCTCGAAAAGTTTCCTGTTGGCTAATAATGGACTCTCTAGAGTTAAAAGAGAGTGTGTCATTACAGGACAAGTATTGTCTGCATAAACCCCTTAGAGCTGTTAACTTGTCAAATACTCACATGTCAGGAAGTACCAACCAAACCTCCCCTCGGGACCTGCTGGGCAGCCCCCCACTTAAGAAACGCCCACTGCTGCTTACCTGGTGCCCTAACCAGTTTAACTGCCTCTTAAAACTTATGCTGGGCTGGCGCTCCTCTCCTTTTAGACGCAATTTTGATCCAGTGAGGTAATGCGCAGAACATCAGTTTATGAAATTATTTTATTTTTTCTGCATATACACGTTATTTTTCAAAGGCAATTTCACTAACTACATCCTGCAGCTCTGTGGACTTACAACATTAATTTACAAGGTTGGCCTTGATTTTCAGTCGAGACATATATATGTATGTGTGTGTATATATATACACACAAAAAAATATATGTATACAAAAAATATATATAGAGAGATATATTTTTCTTCTTAGTCTTAATTTCTGCACTCTTTAGTCCTCAAGGGTTTGACTGCTTCTCCTGCCTTAGCGTTAAATGCGCCTTTCCCCCTCGCCCCACCCCTTGACATTTTATCAGGTAGCAAAAAGCTGGCTGATCCTAAAAGGAAATTTTGCAAATGGTTGACTTTTGTTAACCCCAGGTTTGGGAGGGAGGGGAGAAAAGAGCTTCCCTCAGATAAGAGTTTTAAACTGAATTTCCTCTCCACAAAAATAGAAAAACAACAGCAACCCTCCCAGGACCGCCTTTGGGCACTTTGTGGCGGGCAACCCCCCAAGTCCTAGTAAGTGAATTAGCATCTCAGAAGGGCGCTCCCCGCGGGGCTGGCACTGATCAGGGTCAGCCGGTGTGTTTGCCGGCGACTGTTCGGGGGGGTGGTTAATTGAGTGTCAGTCTCGGCCAGTGTCGTCTCGCTGGCGCCGGGCGCTTTTGGATTTGCTAATTCTCGTTAAGTGTCTGTGGCCGGCTACTCGTCCCGTCTACCCGGGAGAACTCGGCGGCCCCTGCAGATCGACAGCCTGTCTGGGCCTTATTGATCACTCGGCTGGGCGGACGCGCGGAAGGGGCGGGGGGAGGGCTGAACGCGCCCCCTTCCCGCCCGGACGCCCTCCCCGGGCGCGCGCCGGCCCGCAGGGCCCACGCCGGGGGCCGCCCCCGCTCCCCCGAGCTCCCGAGGCGCGCCGCGCGACGGGAGGGGTCCGAAGGCGGCCGCGCGGGTCACTCGCGAGTTTCGGGGAACGACAAGGAAGCCACGCGCTGGCGCACGCCGGCCCGAGGCAGCGCAGTGAGGGTCACGGAGGCGGGGGCCCGAGGCATGGCCTGAGGCCCGGCTCAACCAGCCGCTCCCGAAGGTCACGGGCGCGCGGCCTCCGCGAGGGGGAGCGCGGGAGACGGCCGGCGCCCTCCGCAGCCCAGACGCCGGCGCCGCTCGGAGCCGCGGGGCAGCGCCCTCAGCCCGCGCCCGGCCCCGCCCCCTGGCTGCGGGAGGAGCGGCTGGAGCCTGGCGGCCAATCGGACGGCGCCGGCGCGGCCGGGGCGGGGCGGCGCCGGCCGGCTCCCAGCGCGGGGCGCTATTTACGGCGAGGAGCCGGCCTGATCCGGGCGGGTGTAGGCGGTAGCTCGCGGCGGGCGGTGTTTGCGCGCTCCGGCGCTCGCGCCTTCGCCGAGTGGCCGGCCGAACGCTGGGAACGGAGCCGGGCGCCCACTCCGACCGCCGCGCCGAGCGGGCGGAGCGGAGGAGCGCGCCTTGCGGAGTCGGACCCTGCCCCGCGCGCCCTCCAGCCGCGCTCCATGCTCCGGCCGCGGCCCGGCCCCGCGCCCCGGGCAGCACCCATGCCCTGCACGCGCCGGGAGCCGTAGGCTGCAGCTGCGCCGCGGCTCCGGGAGCCGGCGGGGGCGCCGCGGCCGTGGGGGGCGTCCATGGATCGTCACTCCAGCTACATCTTCATCTGGCTGCAGCTCGAACTCTGCGCCATGGCCGTGCTGCTCACCAAAGGTGGGTGCCCGCCGGCCAGCCGGCTGGGCGCGCGCTCGCCGGGGAGGGCCGCGGGGTCCCGGGGCGCCCGCCGCCAGGGCTTTGTTAGCGGCGGGAGAGGTGGCCTCCCTCGCGGGGCCCGCAGGTCGCGACAAGTTGCCCGTCCTTAGAAGTCGCGGCGGTGGCTTCGCGGCCGCCCCGGGGTGTCCCGGGCCCGACGCGCGGAGATGGAGTGACAGCCTGCGGGCGAGTGGTTGTCAGTGTTTGTACAGGTCGGCCCGTCGTGAACTTCCGATCGCTGCAGCCGGGGAGCGGGGCCCGAGTGTGGGGCGGAGGCGGCCGGGAGGGACGGCGGACCCCGCCCCCGTCGCCCAGTGCCCGCGTGTGCGCGTCTCCGTCGTGAGTGTGTGTCTCGGTGGTCTGCGCGGCTCTGTATTTGAGTGTGTCTCTGCTGCGAGTGCGTGTGTGTATTGCAGTGTCTCTGTCCGTGAGTGTGTGTGTGTCTTCGAGCGAGGGTGCTTGTGAGCCCGCGAGCGTGTGTGCCGTCCGAGGGGTGTGCGTGTGTGCAGGAGTGTGGGCTGTGTTGCTTCTCAGGGGTTGGGAGGTGGGGGCTCTGTCAGCGGTCGTGTTTCCCACTCACCTCATATTTTATAAACGCTACTCAAAAAAAAAAAGCAGCGGTCAGTTTCTTTTTTTCCCTGCAGTCTTTCGCCGTTTAGGTCGAAATAACCCAAACAACTGCCTCCGGGTTTCAAGGTCCCCCAGCCTCCCTCGCCAGGAACTCTCCCTGCTGTTTGCTCTGCGAACAGATACTTTTTTAGAAAATAGGAAGCATTTTTAGCTTTCTCCACCCCGCATCCCACGCCCCCTTTCCTCTAATTGCCATGTAGCAGGCATGAGGTTGAAGGATACGCCAGGCCAGCGAGGATGATGTGCTGCAGTATTTATTTACTTTGCAAGGAAGGCTGTAATCAACCCTAAATAACAGCCCTCGCGGGGTGCAGAGGGGAGCCTCCTGGCCCTATCAAAGGCCGGCCGAACGGGGCCGGACTGCGGCTGACATAAGTCGCAGATACCGAAACTATGTGCCTGATAATGATATAATTAGGGGATCAGAGGTTTCTGACTGCTGCGGACTTCAAACGCTTTGGAAGAAGCCCGCAGTCTCTCCTGTAGCCGTCCGGACTGAAGCAGACATTTTTGTTTAATCACCACATACAGTAACTAGAAAGGGGGGCAGACAGAAGAGCATTGTTCCCTGTTTCAAAATACCAGTCCCCTCCTGGCCTTCCACGTGCCACAGGAAGAAACTTTATGAAACGGCAGAAATAGAGTTTTAATACAGTAACACAAAAGTCCATTCAACTTGCTCCAATGTGGCTCCAATTAAAAAAAAAAAAGTTGTTAGAGCTTTCCTAGTTACCTGTCAAGATTTTATTAGACTGTTTTAGGTCACTGAAAATACAGTCTTTCAAACAGGCTCTCGTAAACACTGAGGCAGCCTTCTACTTGTGTTCAGCTTCTTTTCTGCACGAGGTCTGAAGTGACTGGGATCAAAACTGACTTTTAATCTGTTTTATGTCTACTTTCAATCTGTCTGTGGAAATTGTCAGACTTAGGGATCTGCAGTCATCACCACTTAAGACCAGTGAGCTTTATGCGAAAGAGCAAGAAGCTTGGAAAGAGGAGTAAAGAGCTTCTGCGAAGCAGGCTTCTGACTGGAAGGTCTTGCTTACTGGAGAAGGGACCTGGGCCCAGACCAGGACAGCAGCAGGACAGGACAGGAGCAAGACCTCCGGCTTTGCGGGGTGGCACCCAGGTTGCCAAAGATCTGTGTTTACTTGGCTGCATTTTTAGACCTGAAGCATTAGCAGATGCTGGTGAAGGCTGAGTGCTCGGTCCGGTGGCCTGGAATTTGGACAGATAGTTAAATGAGACCTCTTACTTGGGCACTCGCGGGAGGAGGGAGGAAGAAAGGCGAGGCTGGGAAGAGGTTTGCAAAGCGGTAGTGCCCCGTGTCGGTGTTGGTGTTCAATTTCAGGGCGTCGGTTTCTGTAACCAGGCCGAACTTCAGAGGAGGAAGCTGGGGAGAGGTGTGTACCCGAGTTCAGTTCACAGCAGCTTCAGCCGTGGCAGGTGACAGTGGCTGCGGTCCACCGGGTCAGATAGCGTGTGAGCGAGCGCTCCCAGAGCCAGATAATTTCAACGAGAAGTTGACGTGGAAGCCTCAGATCTTGCGCTGTGACTTGCAACTCACAAACTAAGTTTTATAAAGGAAACTTTTAATCACTTCCCATAGAAAAATTTGAGGTTTCCTTAAGGATTTTTCATTCAACCAGCAGAGGTTTTTCTGTTTCAGTGTTTCCCCTTTTAGATCCCATGTTGAATTACATAAAACTGGGGAGTCTGGGGGGGGTGAGCCTTGCAGTTTTACCCCCTCCTCCCTGCTCCCAGTTTTATGACTTTCCATTTGGGCTGAAAGAAACTGACTTTGGCAAGCAAACCACTAATTGTAAAGTGCCTAGTTCCTGTTTTACAGCATACTGGCTAAAAGCTCCCCTGCATGCAGAGATCTTTATAGGCAAAGTTTGCCTTTTCTAGAGAGGTTGCAAATAGCTACCCAGTTTCATAGTTTTCAGCCCCCCTGGCCGGAGCAACTTCTAGATTGCTGTGTTTCTGATTAGTAGCTTTACGAGATGTTAGCTAAGGCTCTTGCGTCTCGGTGCAGCCCTTTGAGGTAGTAACCGACTCAGCAGCTGCAATGGAATACGTACACTGACAGAATCTCAAAGCGTAGCGTTTCACGTTGTACGGTCGCGTAGGATTAACTGAGTAAATAATGTAATTTACCTTTTACGGTGGGAGAAATTATGGGGGTGATTATTTTGCTTCAGAAACAAAAGTGTTATTTTTCATTATCCGCTAACTTATCCTAAATTGAACTTTTCTCTGCTACGTGGATTAATACATTTCTAAGATGATATTTCCCTGGCTTGGGATCCAAGCACCGGCTTGCACAAAGGGCTTTCCCCGTCCACGCGGACTGCCCTTCGAAGCCCTCAGCTGAATATTCTCTAAAGTGAGTGTCTTTGAGATCGGGGGTTGAGCAGTTGCTTACGTGGATGCCTTATCTGGTCTCTGAAGCCGTCTGATGCAGTTTCCCCTTGTTTGCAGGTGAAATCAGATGCTACTGCGATGCCGCCCACTGCGTGGCTACTGGTTACATGTGTAAATCGGAGCTGAGCGCCTGCTTCTCCAAACTTCTTGATCCTCAGAACACAAATTCCCCTCTCACGCACGGCTGCCTGGACTCTCTCGCAAGCACAGCAGATGTCTGCCAAGCCAGACAGGTCCACAACCACTCTGGCAGCGCTGCGCCCACGCTGGAGTGCTGCCACGAGGACATGTGCAATTACAGGGGGCTGCAGGACGTCCTCGCCCCTCCCAAGGGGGAGGCCTCAGGTAGGGAGAAGCCCTCTGACCGAGCCCTTGCCTGGTCTCTACTGATGTTGTTGTTAACGTAATCGGGGATAGCAGAGGGAGAAGCACAGCTGGGTGCAAGAGGCATCTCTACTGGGTAGCTTTCGTGTCCGCGTGAGCGTTAGATGTCTGTCTGCGTAATAGGTTTTGCCTGTTTTTCCAACATTTTGAAGCCACTAAGAGACCATTACTAATCAGTAATGACAGTTCGAAAACAAGTGTTTTTGGAAGCTTCTCTGCCACACTGGCAGCATTTCTGTTCTAAATATTGATTGACTTGTAAGCTTCTCTTTAATGGGGTACCACGTTGAAAACGGAGGGGTGCCCGCAAACGTCTCCAGGAGGGCTTGATCGTTTTGCTTGTGTTCCTTTAGGACAAGGGAACAGGTATCAGCATGACGGGAGCAGAAACCTCATCACCAAGGTGCAGGAGCTGACGTCCTCCAAAGAGCTGTGGTTCCGGGCGGCGGTGATCGCCGTTCCCATCGCCGGGGGGCTGATCCTAGTGTTGCTGATTATGTTGGCCCTGAGGATGCTGCGGAGCGAGAGCAAGAGGCTGCAGGACCAGCGGCAGCAGATGCTGTCGCGTTTGCACTACAGCTTTCACGGACACCACTCCAAAAAGGGGCAGGTGGCAAAGCTAGACTTGGAGTGCATGGTGCCCGTGACCGGCCATGAGAACTGCTGTCTGACCTGCGACAAGACGAGACAGGCTGACCTCAGCCACGACCGGATCCTGTCGCTCGTGCACTGGGGCATGTACAGTGGGCACGGGAAGCTGGAGTTCGTATGACGGGGTCTCACGGAACTGGACCTCTGGGGCCCTTTGAGTTCTGCTGGCCGGGAGCACTTTATCTGAAGAAAAACAAACTCGCGTCATGACCTTCGAGAGATAGAATGACCTCTGCAAACAGAATCTTGGATATTTCTTCTGAAGGATTATTTGCACAGACTTAAATACAGTCAAAATGTATTATTTGCTTTAAAAGTATAAAAAGCAAAGAGAAGACTCTGTACACTGTTACCAGGGTTATTTGCATCCAGAGGGAGCTGGAATCGAGTACCTAAATAAAAGAACGTGTGCTCTGTGTAAGCTCTTACATCCTGATTTATCATAGAGGTTAAAAAAAAAAAAAAATATATATATATATATATATATATTTTTTTTTGGTCTGAAATTTTGCGGTGTCGTCATAAATTAAAAACTAAGCAGGAAGGGTAAGGAACTACGTATTAATGATACAGATGAAGGCCCGTCATCGCCCAGAGTAGGGTCTCAACCATAGATTTTGGCTTAACTTTTTCACTTTTATTATTTTTTTAAACAAGACCAAGATCTCGTTTTTTCTTACGTGGCACGTGTGTCATTTTCTTACAGTGTGGAGAATTTCTAAATGTGTACTGCCCATCATTCAGTGTCTTACCCACAATTTTTGGTGAGGATAATGCTGGTTTTTAGCTTTCATCTAATAGAAGTCAGAAACTTATTTATACCAGGTCAGATATCACTGATCAATTTCGGAAGTTGCCTTAGCAAAGAGTGGCATTTAGCAACTTGATCTAGGTGCTCTGGAATATGTTTTTAAATGTGTCTACCTCCGATCAAAAAAGGAAAAAAAGCTTTTACTAAATGAAACTTCGTTTTGGTAAAGTTAGTCACTGTCTACTTTTACTTCTTAATTCATCAGTTTATTCTGTCTCAAACCTAATTTAATATTTTGGACCCCAAATTTAGCCAAACATGATTGTACCATGTTCCTGGTTTTTAAGCCTTCCTTCCACACAGTGTTATTATTATTTTTTTTACTTCTCAATCTTTAGAAAGATTTTCAAGAGTGAACGTTATATATCGAGATTTAAATAACAATTTCCTCCCTAAATGATTCTTTTATTTATATAATCAAATAGACTTGGTTTTAGCCACTAACACACTATGTAACAGCGTTCCCACTCCTGGAGGACTTCGGCAATGTAGCCCAGCCTGAATTTAAACCCATGCCACCTTTGTTTACTTTTTCCCCCCAGATGGGTCTTTGCTATCTTAAATGTGAGAATAATTTGTAGGTTCTTTTCTCAATACTTTTGTATATTTGAAACTTTTGCTTAAAAATTAACCTATAGCCTGCATATTTGAGTACATGTGGGGTTTTCTTTTACGAATGTTAAAGGATTTTTTGCATTTTTTTCTGGGATATTTTATGATCAGTATAATTTGGGTCCCTTAAGAAGACAGGTGCAGTTGCCCAGTTGATGGAAGAACCTGAGTTGAAATGACTAGTCTAAAAATGAATACCTAGGTTATTTAGGAACTAGTGGACCACAACCCCAAACAAATTAGGCTATGGAATAAATATGCGTTTTAATAAATGGCATTCGTGTTGTGCTTTTTGAGGTTGACAATTCTTGCACGCATGACTTACAATTTATAAAAGGTATTACGTTTTATGTGTGTCCATTTTTGAGGGAGTCAAAGAATTTTGGGGCCTAACTCTCCAAACCTAAGAGAAGAGAACGGATCAAAATGGCCAGTTGGTGAAATTTCCACCCTCACAGCCTCTTCCAAGCTTTAGATCAAATTGCAGTAATTTTGTAGCCTGAAGGTTGAAAGACTTCTTGCCTCTTCTGCGTCCTCACGTCAGGGAGCGTGTCATGCAAGTCCCATGACTCTGAAGTGGCCTGTTCCCTCGCTTGGCCCGCTCTTATTCTTGATTCACCCCGTTTCTTCCAAATACCAGTTAACTAGGAACTCAGGAATTCATTAGGAAATAAATAGAACAGTGAAGGATTGAAATTTATACTCTTGGAAACACTTTGAAATCAGTGAATTCCATCCTCCAGGAAGGCCTGCATCTGGGCTGGTGCTAAGGTCAGGGAAGTTTAGTGGCAGGTGAATACAAAGTGTCTCCACGTGGTTCTGTTTGGGCTGAGCTGCTTCCTGTTCTTTCTTGCGTAAAGGAGGCTGTTTACACCTCCCTGTTGGTGGGACGGTGGCTCTGTGCTCAGGGTGTCCTCAAGTTGTAGCCGCGTAATAGGCAGGACCTGTCTCTTTCCGTAATAACAAACCCTCTGCCTTTGCTATCTCCTTATTTAGTATTTGTACACGTTCTTGCCACCAGTTTTAAAGTCGGATCTGCACATAACTTGGACTTTTGACGAAAATATTGCAGGTTTCTCCACTTTGATTTTTCTAAGAACTAAATATAGTGTCTACTTTTGGTTCCCTGCAAGAGTGTAGAGGTTGCCAAGAGCGGAGATAGAGGACCCTTCATGAAATAATGACCTAGCTGATGCGGTGATGTAAGGATGGTGATGGATTTGTTTGTCTTTCCCTCATAGAGATGTTTGCCATTACGCTGAGGTGTCAGGACACGGCTGGGCTTACCAGGAACGGTCCTTGTTTAATATTGACATAGAACTCCCCCCAAAAGTAATTTTCCCTTTCTAAGTGGAAATTTGCCCAAACCAGAGACAAATGGGACCAAATTTGCCATGATGTTTCTGTACGTACACCCCTTAAACATTTCTGCCCCTTTTGAAAAAATTGATCTGTCCGTGGTTACATCTTTTATGTGATTTTTCCTCCCTTATTTTGAATGGCTCAGAGGCTTCCTAGAAATTGACTGGTGTGTCTCTAATTTCTGCTGAACTGATTTTATTAAAAACACTGCACCATAGGGGGTTTGACCTCCCTCCTAAAATACCAAACATGTCTGCTTTAGAAAATCACAAAGCTCTCCTCTGAAGAGCTTGTAAATCTGGTTTCAATATGGCTTGATTATAGACTAAAAGCTTGAAAGCAGTGGCGTCTCGTATCATGAGTCTGGAACTAGCCTTTTTGGGGCCAGGACAGCTTTTTTTCCTTAGACCCTCTAATTGTTCCTCTTCCGTGTCTCTTAGCCCAAATAACTTTAAACATACAAAAGCTACGTGGTGTGATGAGGTTGAACTCATCCAAGGTAGCAGTCCAGAGCACTTGCGGGTCTCACAGCCTGGGTTCCTGTGCTCCTCTGTTCCCAGACGTGTGAACTTGGGCACATTACTTAGGCTCTTTGGATACTCAGTTCAGTTACCCACACAACGGGGGCTGTAATTACACCTTATGTGATTCTTGCGACGAGGTGTAGGAGGCGGTATTCCTGCTAATACACGAGTCTTGGATGAACTCAAGTCCCGCCCCCACCAAATCCTCAAAATTGGAGAACTGATACCTGTTATTTATACAGTGGATAGTTTTATTTTACTCTTTAGTATTTCAGATCTTTGCATGTTTGAGGTTTGCAAGCCCTTCTTCAGTTGCCTGCAGACTGGATTTAACTTTTTAAATATTCACTTTCAATGGACTGCTTTTAGCCTCTCCTAGCTACAGATCATGTTGGTTTGTAATTGTTTCCTTTTGCGATAATCTGGACGGCACTGATAGGAACGTTTTCATTGTGTGCACCTATCCCGTTGGATGTTTGACGGAAGGAAGTTCTCTCAGAGTTTCAACTGCTCCAGGCGCTTAATCCATTGAGAAAACCACAAAAGCCAAGTTAGGTGTCAGAGTGCGTCAGAATTGCTCGAACAGTTTGTGTCTGATGCATTCTGAGCAAGTGCTACTATCAATTACAGTCGGCCCCATAGGTGTTCCCGACAAAATACAGCGGTTCCACTGGTTTGGAGGACTTTGTGAATGTTTTCGGGGGGCGCCCTACTTAGTAAACAATCTACTTAATTTCCCTGGATGAAGTTAATTTAGTTATTACTCTGTGGGTCGCAGTCATCAGGAGAAAAAGAACTGCTGCGACACCAACTCACTCCCTTCCTTCCACCCAATTCATTCTGTGGGTGTTGCCCTCACTGCTGACAAAAAAAACAGACCCTCGATCTGAGAATCTGAGATCCAATGCAATAATGAAATTAAATGCTCTTTCAAGTTTTGACAACTCTTTATTTGAGGTACAGTTTTAGACTAACCACAGCCTTAGAGCCTCTAATTGTTAATTTGCCAACACTGCACGGTTCTGCAGTGCGGTGGTATCGTTCGCTTGTCTGCCATTCCAGAAATTTGGAGATAGAATTGGGAAGGGGGACAGAGCTGAGTTTAACCAGATAGTAGGGTTTACTTGCAGCAAGGCAGCAATTTTCCAGTGGTTCTGCTTTGTAACCTTTAGAAGTTTTTGTTACTTGGGGAGGGCTACCAACCTGACAGCCGCAAGCGTTGCCCTTTATGTGAATATGAATGTGGATAACCAGATAGGTATTGATGAGCAATCTTGGAGACACTTTGAATGAGCAGTTAGGTAACATCTCAAGGCAGTTAAGGAGATTCCTCAAGACTTCAGGGAGATTCGTCTACCTAGTAGCCAGCGGCCAGATGGCCTCTGGGGGCTATTTCAAATTGCATTTAGTTGCCTGTATCTTGCAGATTAGATTGGACTAAGCCTGAGCAGAACCCTGGGAAGACGCGTGCATAACTGCTTATCACACACCGTATGTGTACACACAGGCCATGCCGCGGCCAAATGGTCTTTGTAATCCTGGAGTGATTATACATTTAACAGATTTCAGGGGGGCGTGTAAGTAGATGTTGGAATTTGTCAGTGATTTGCTTTTAGACACTTGAAGACTGTGTTAGTTGTGATGAATTAATCGGGTCAGAGGCTGTCGTGTGGGTTTACTCTGAAAGATCTCGCGTTACAGACCGAATGGGACAAAAATTGTGTTAGCAGTCAAAACCAAGAGGAATGCAGGAAACTCCTTACCCCTGGTCTCTTCCCCTTGGCATTTCCCTGGGGACTAATGAGGACAGTGGAGAAACACCACGCGTCAAGCCGTTTCTGCCTTTTCAAGCATTAGACATTCAGGTGGAAACCTTTTCCACTAAATGCAGTGGATGTAATTTTGATACCATAGACTTTAACTCACGGTTGCCTTGGAGAATGGGTTATTTCTCACCTGGATTTAGGGATTAAACTGTGAACTCCTCGTGGGGAGGAGCTAGCATCAGTCACCTTTGTAGGTTTCCACAGTCCAAGGAGAGAGTGAGATGAAGGACAGATCAAGGCTTCTTGTCAACAGGCATCTGAATTTAGACTGTCAGTAAATAAA